AAAGGGTATTTTACACCAAGGCCTGCGATGATATGAGAGTCTCGGGGACGCGGAGGGCAGCACGCGAGACACCGAGTCTGTCTGGCACAACCGTCATGGGGGAGGGAGGCTGCGGGTGGCTCTGGGCACAGCCGGCTGTGGCACAAGGGGCTCCCGCCCAAGCCGTGCGCGGGGCCGGCGGCATCGTGGGGCCGCGCTCGCCTCTGCGCCGTCCTGCCCACAGACCAGCATGGGTCACCGAGCCACAAGGCCCAGCCGTTTTCCTGTGCTCTTTCCCCGCCTCTAAAATCTGGAAGGAGATTTTTTTTCTCCCGCCACCAGGAAGCAGAGGTAAGAGTCCTGGGCGAGCGCAGGGCGGCAGCAGCTGGAGACCCGAGGGCTGTTAACAAGAAGACTGTGGAGAAACTGAGGTGGTTGGGGAGCGCCTGGGACACAGCGCGCCTCAGTGCTCGCGCGCGGCCTGGCCTCCCCGGGCCACGAATGCGTTTTGCAGCTCAGTGACATATTTGGGGGGGTAGCAGTGGCCTTATCAACAAAGTCCATGGAGATGGTGATTCACAGGAACACAGTGACACAGTGCTCAAGGCCACATTGTTTTCTCTACAGCAGCAGAGCTCCCTTTGCTGCCCTGTCTGCCCTAGGCTGTGGAAGACAAAGTGGTGCTTGCAGAGGGGAGCCCCCAAAGGCCAAACACTGCCCCAGAGCCGCTGCTTGGGGAGCCCTGCCCGACGAGCTGCCATTCACCGGCATGCACCTCCCTGCACTGTTACTGCTGTTGACACAGCAAAGAGGCTGCTTTGCAACGCGGGTGAGTCACCTAGCTGGGAAAGACCATGCAGGAGGCTAAACAGATTGGCACTACCCCCTGCCCCTTAATCCCTGGTTAACTTAGTCTGCGGTGGGGCCTTGCCTCTCTGGGACTATTACAGAAGGCCATGGCTTCCCTGACAACTACTCATGGCAACAACACATGTTTTGGGTGAGGAGGTCCCTGAAGCTGCACACGGTGCAGGCAGCTGTGGAGCTGGGCCTGGTTCAGGGGGAGAAGGGCTGCGTCCAAGGAGGCTGCGTGGGGCAAAGCCCCTGCTCGCGGTACCCCGGCTGTCTGTCCCACACAGAGCCGGCAGTGACTCGGGCACAGCGCGCGCCGAGGGGAGCACTGGCGGGAGGGATGGTGCTCTGGCTGCAGCATCAGCCTCTGTTTTGATGTCAGGGATAATTAAAGTGAAAAACATACAAGAAACTATGCTTAGAAACTGCACATGAGCCTAGGACAAGCAGAAACACGCAGCCTCCCACTGCTTTCGGTGCTGAGTGCTGCTGTACCTTTAGCCCTGCCTGTTCCTAGCACCCACGGCCCAAGCAAACCAGCTCCTAGAGCTTGCAGAGCTGCCAAAACTGGCTCTCTGGAGGGGAACGTGAGGCATGGAGGGGATTCTCTCTTGTTTATAAATCCATGGCCTCTCCGCTCAGATTTGTTGTGCCCAGTTTGAGAGGCTTGTGCGTGGACTGCAAGGGGAGACCCTTGGTAGTGCACACCCCAGAGCTGCAGCAGCACCAGCCCGCAGTGCGGGGCACCCAAATCAAGGCTGGTCCCTCATCACGGACCCTGGCGTTTGCCAGGGCCAACCTGCAAAGCTGTCCACGTCCCTGCTTCACTCCCTGCACAAGCTGAGGCCATGCTGGTTGCTTACCAAGAGCGGGGCTTTCTCACAGCTCGGCTGCTCGGAGACGTTACTTTTACAACAACACAGAGGGGGCGGCAGGGGACAAAAGGGCAGAGTTCTACATTCCTCTCTTGTAAATTTAGGAAGAAAAAACTGTTGCCAGCACCCTACATGAACACAGCCAGCTGGCGACACAGCCCCCTTCCCTACCACCCTTCCATGCCGCCTTGCTGAGCCACAGCCCCGGGGGCTCCAGAGCTCTCCAGTGCCCGGGCACTGCCGGCCTGGCAGCCCCCAGGCCCTAAAGCAGCTCTTCCTCTTCGGTCCTGGCCTGGGCCGAGTTCCTCCAGCTGAGACATGAGTGAGGAACGGACAGGCTGGGTTTGCTCCCTGCCCCAGGTCTCCCGGAGGGGCCCCGTGTTCACTGCCCTGGCACAAGCCCTCAGCACGCTCCTCTCCACACTCAGCTCCTAAGGGGTCACTAGGAGCTTAAATGTTACTGTTTAGAGGCATTGCCTCCCTCCTACCCACGTCCCTCACAAAACCAGAGCCTAAGGACACTGCTGCACAACCGGGTTTTGGCACTGAACCGCCCCACAGGACGGCGCGAGCGCAGGCCCCTCACACAGCTGAGGAGAGAGCTAAGCAAGCCCTGACCCACACGCGGGTTCTGCTCCCCGGGGATGTGGGGCCCGCGGGGGCTGATGCAGGCTCCAGCTCGGCGTTCACTCTAACAGGAAGCCGTTTCACACCGGCAGAGCCGCCCCTTGCGCTGCTCCCTGGCGTAGTCCTAGCCAGGGAGAAAATGCTCGCTCAGCTTGGTCCAGATTAGAGCAGAGCGGCTCCAGCTGCACCACGTTTTGCCTTGTCCCACCCTGCAGCAAAGAAGTCCCCCAAGACTCCGCTCAGGATGGTAGACAGAGGCAGCAGAGGCAGAGCCGGGGAGCTCTGGTGGCTGCTTGCCCACCAGCAGCCCTTTTCTCCCACCACATTCCGTCCCTTTGGCATACAGATCCAGCCAGAAAGTCAAGGCAGAATAAAGAGCCTAATCTTTCATTGAATCTTCAATCCCTACAACTGCAGAAACATCTCCTCACATATTGATTCCTCACTTGCCTCTTTTGGATTCTTCCTACCCTGACTTTCCCTCCTCATCTGTTTCCATTTCTTCTCTCTGCTCCCCTTTGCCCCAACATAATCTTCATTTCTTTTGGTCCTCCTTTCCTTTCTTTCGCCTCCAACCCTATACCCTTCCCAGTGCCCTTACTTGCACGAGAGGCTTCCCACCTTGTCCCGGTGGGAGAGGAGACGGCTCTCCTGACGGCTCTGGGGCGGTAGCTCCGGCGCCTGGCAGAGTCTCCACAGCTCCGTGCAGCCTGCCCGCTGCTCCCATGGTTTGCTAATACTGACAAGAGACACAAGCCCTCACACAGGTATGGGCCTGGCTTTCTAAAACAAGCCCACATCTTACATGAACTTTCCTCTCCAGGAGGAGAGGCGTTTGTCTCATTATGGGTCTGTAATTACCAAGCTTACCAGTGCATGGTATAAATAATTTTCTTTATTGGCAAGTTTCAACTATGTGCTCAGCCTATACAAGACAACGATGCAGAAAGTTCTTGTCCCAGATAAAAGATAAACATGGGAAAAATGAGAGCTAAGGTGAGGGGATAATAAGAGTCAATTTTTCCAACTATTACATTCCATTTTGTAGGTGGTACAAACAGGTCTGAGGCTTAGGGAAGAATCTGAGTGAGAGAGCAATAACCTGGAGACAAGATGTCTGCAGCTCGTGTGTTTTCCTGCTCCCATCTGACTCTTTGGGCATTCCCTGATCCCGGTGTGAGCACGGGAAAGGAGGATCTGGAAGAGCGTGTTGCTGTAAGGCTCACTCGCATGCATTAAGAGGCCAGCTCTTGGCTCGGCTGGTGGCTGCAAGCGTTCTCGGAGACGTTCTGCCTTCAGAAGGACAAGAACGACCGACTCCTGACAGTGCTTGGGAATGGCCTTTGCTGAGGTAGTTTGTTGACCAGGCAAGCCTAAACGCCAAAGGATGAGCATGGCAAAACATCTTCCTCCAGGTTCCTGACTCTTCTGAAGAATTCCTACGTATTTGGCAGGAAATTCTCTGCAGCAACCCAGCAACTGGCCCTACGTCTTCAGAATCCCAAGGAAGGACACAGGGAGGTGAACAAGGGTCAAAACAGCGTGACAAGACACAGCCAGTGCCGCCCAAAGGGGCATGGTCCACCAGGAAGAGTAAATCATTATTTCAGTGGTTCCCTGAACAGCTGATGCTACCAAGGAAAGCCCCAGTAAAAGAGTCGATTTTGGTTTGACATCTGAAGGTGATCTTTTTAAAAACAGGTTTCATTAAAAATATATATATATATTCATCGTTAGTGATTCAAAAGCAAAGAGAGTGTGGTACAACCCAGCTGGGCAAGAAGAGGGAAAGTGAAACGTGAACTACGAACTTACAAATACTTTTCACTGCATCCACATGGGAAGGAAATGGAGTTTGCTCCCTGGCTCGGTGGGACTAAGGGAGATTTCACTCTGGGTCTTCCTAAATGCTGATTATGCTGCTCCCATGGGCTTCCTCTGCCACAGTTCATGGAAAAGGATGATTGGAAGCCAAGGATGTCAGAATTAGTGTTCATATTTCTAGGCAGTTGGAATATCAATGTGCTTTCTGAAGGCTGATAAGTTATCAAAGATGAAATGCAATCTTGTTCTTCCTATCCACAGTAATCCCTAGTATTGCTGTTACTATTTTGTGTACAGCTTGCACTAAAGGAAAATGCTGCTCATAATGATACTAATGGTTCTAGCTGGGTCACATGCTCAAACTTGGATCACACCACAGCTTTCCAGATGTTTTAAGAACGGACTGCAAGAGAAGGGAAAATCAACTTCTGCAACTCTTACTCCTTTTCTGAACAGTCAAAGCACCAGGGTGACTTCAGGCTGAACTTCAGCCCAGGCCCCAGGTCCTTGGCACTGGGCTAGGGGCCAGGAACATCTCTGATATGTTTCTCCTCAGCTGCCTCTTCTTCTCCTTCAAGAAAGATTTTGAAGTCACTTATTTCCTACCACCAACAAGCAAGGACATCTAAATTTGTTAATATCTTTATAGTGGCTTGGAAATAGAAAAATACCACCCATTATGGCAGCTTCTCAAAGAATGTAGCTTTAATGCTAATTCAGTCTGTCTAAAATACAGCAGGAGTTAAAAATAAAAAGAACCCCAGCAGACCTTAGTACAAGCTTAAGCTTAAGAGTAGTCAAATAGTGTAAATTTTTGCTCCTTTGGAACCTCTTACAGCAGCTACACAAGAAAGATCTCTCTTTAGCAAACGCCACTTCTCCTTCCACTCCGTCGTTCCGAATTGCCCAGAAACGGCCCCAATTTACTTGTGGCTCCGTCGCAGCGTCGCTGCCCGGGTGCGCGCGGCCCTGCGGAGGCTCCCAGCCTGTTCACGGATGGTGCTTCAGAGCCAGGAGAGGAAGTGCCCAGAAAGGACCAAGGAGGGAGAACTACTTAGCAGCAGCAAAGGCTGAAGTGAAGATCGCTTCTCCGCTCTGGTGATGAGCAGCACGTGTGCTTTTATAGCCTGTAATACACACGTGGTGACAAAAGGGAGATGCAAGTCCCCGCTTACCCCCTGGGATACTAGAGACAGGCAGATGCTTTGGGAAAGCAGCAATGGCTCTTGTAACAGCTCCTGGCTGCTTAACTGCACTCGGATTTAAATGTGGCTACCACTGAATTTCACTTGCATCCCGGCTTGAATTAGCAAAGGAGACAGGAGGACTGTCAGCCTTCAGACAGTTTGCTACCCCAAAATAGCTCAGTGCTTCCAGGAGAGCTGAGAAAATTACGAGAGAGATAAGAAAGAACATGTGAATGACTAAGACTCAGAGCAACTAATCCAGGATCTAGCACAGTGGATGCTTCAGAAGATACAGGAATGACCCGAGTGACCAAGTAGAGAATGACCCGGCCAGAAAGGATATTTCTCCTGAGTATCTGGCGGTCAGCTGCTGGCTTATATTCCAAAGCAAGAAGGCTCATATCCAGTTTATTATTTCACTTCATTGCTTCAAATACATAGTTGTATATTTAAATGCCCTGGGTTGTAGGCCCAACGATGCTCTGTGGTAATGAATTCCAGGGCTAAGTGGGTTGATGAAAACTGCCCCTGATCAGTGTTGATGTCGCTTGCCCAGCTGCCACTTTTGCTAACTGATCCTTGCAGCTCTGCTCGGCCCAGAACAGAAAAACAGCTAAGGATGGAGTGGAGGTTATTGCAGGCTTAGGCGAGAGCCTTCCCAAGCTCCAGACAAGCCCAAGTACTCAGGATCAATTCTGAGCTCCATGCTGAAAATAGGGTGGCCTCACTTCTATACAAGGAAGAAAGGTCTTTAAAGGCCAAAGGGCAACCTGGAGGAGAGGAAAGGAGAGAGCTCCCCAACTCGTGCAGCAGCTCCCTCGCCGGGCACAGAGAGCCCCTCTCAGGCCCTGTGCTGCCTGCATTATTCGCCTCCTAGTCAGAAGTGCATCCGTGCAGTGCAAGCCTTTCCATGGTTTCACTAGGAGTATCAGCCCTGCAAGTCTGCCTCAGTACCTGACACACGCGTGGGGTCTCCAATGGGATGTCCCAGCTCTGCTCCCACTGCAAGGACAGGGAATTTTGCCGGTATTCCAGTGGAAACAGGGTCTGCCCAAATACTGACAGGCAACAGGAAAACGAGGCTGTTCTGGGACGCAACCACAAGGATCGGGATCAACGCTCTGAACTAAGGCAACGTCCACTGTAAAGGGAAGCACAGGGCCAGCTTTGCTGCCTAGAGTAAAAGGATAATAATATAAGAGAGATGAACTTCTGAAGTAAGAGGATATAGCAGAAGGTGATTTCAGTCCAACAAACTCACTGTCTTTCATTCCCAAGCTCTAATCGGTCCATATTACAAAGCTAAAAAAGCCTTAAACAAGCATACTGCCAGCGGAGGTACTGGCAGTATTGAACAGCAGAGATAAGCCTGGCAGACCCTCCAGGTGGGGATGAGATGCAGCCCTGTGGGATTTGATTCAGTTTAGAGTAGCCAGTAGCACATATAGTATAATCTCTGGAAACTGTCCCATCAGATTTTAAAACACAAACACAGCAGGATGTCATCATAAATAAGCAAAGTCTGTGTTAAAAAATTCTAAGTACACAGCATTTTCTCCAGTTCTGACACCTTTTTAATAGAAATCACTTGTTTAGGAAACAAATAGCACTTTTGTAATTTTTTACAATGTTTCTTACCTTGATCTTATTTTAAGTAACACTAGGAAGACCTCAATATCTTTTATTTTCCTTTTTAATTTAAAAAAGTTGGTTTTTTTTCCCCCAGATACAAAGATTTTGCCCTTGCATAAAAAAACAGTGCCCAAAACGATGACACAAGGACTCACAAAGACTCACTGTATCTCACTGACACTATTACTTCTAATCTATACCATGCAAGGTCCCATCTACCTCTTTAATTAGACTGTCAGCCTGAAAACAGCTTTTCTATTCCTTATTTAGTTCTTGTTACCAAAAGAAAGAGAAAGGAAGTGAAAGAAAAGGACATTTCTCTGTTCAGTTCACACATCTGGGTCATGTGCTACTTTGTTCAGGATACGTTTTTGTTTGTTTATAAATATAGAAAAGGATTGGAACCTCAGTTTCAAGTAATCGATGCACATTTGCTCTCGGGACACCTCCATCCAACACTCCAAGCTGACCACTCTGGCCCTCTGTCTTCCCACTCCCAACACAGGCTGTCTGCGTGAGTGTGAGGACCCAAACCAATTCTGCGATGCTTTTTCTTTTGTCTAAGGTGAAGAAATAGGATTAACCCAAACCTGTTGGGACAGTAGATCCTCAGCCTGCACATGTGCTGGTTACTCAGTGAAAAGTCCATCTCTATTCCTTTTATACGTCTCCTGTCTAAACAATAGTAAATACTGCTTATTTGATAGACCTGTCCCTTCTGGGCACTGGGATTTGATAACTTATATTTCTGTTTTTTTTTTGTTTTTTTTTTTTT